GTTCCAATCCGGAACCATGGGGTTCAATCCGGAACCAATCCGTAGACTACGGATTTTTAATTCTTCAATCCGGAACCGACCCGCGGATTCATAGAGCACATAGGGTATGGCAGCGAAGAAAGCAAGAGGGTGCTGGTGGTGAAGTTGAGAGCTGATGAGGAAGGGTTTTGAAATTGGGCATCTAATGTCAAAGAAGATTGCGCACTTGGTACATACATAGGCAAAGCCTGAAGCATATACTTGACACGCATGGCACTTAAATTTACCGCTGAATCCATTTGTATTGCCAATATTCTCGTACAACTGACCAAGTGAATATTGGAGCAGGGTGAGTGTGTGTTGGTGGTGGCAAAATGAGCGTTTTACCTGCAGAGGCAAATCAGCACAAGATTTGTGCAGCAAAAACTTGCATTCAAGACTGATGTAGACAATAGAATCATCATCCTCAAAGTGAAGCTGGCAAGCATCGCAAGATATGCGATAATCCTTTTTCTTCTCACAAAGAATCAAAGGGTGGGGATGGCTTAACTGTTGAATCTGGAACTTATCATCGCTGCTGCTGCCTTGAGAATTTTGGGTAGACGACGGCAATGGTATCAACGAAGCGCACAATGGGTCCAGGCTGAAATTACACTCAGAACAGTTGAAGGAAAAGCCCTCTGCCAGGAATTTCCCACAAGCGCTGCACTGACTCGAATCCTCACATTGGTCATTTTTAACACGACACTCATCACATTTGAAGAGAATGCCCTTCTTGAGCACCTTCCCACAAGCTCTACACTGCCTCGAAAACGTATTCCAACGTTGGTCAAGCAGGGTGAGTGGGTGTTGTCGGTGGAAAGGATGTTGGATCTGTGAAGGCCACTCGGCACATGATTCGTCGAGCAAGCACTTGCAGTCAAGGCAAACGTAGATTCGACTTCCATTGATGGGTAGCTTGCAGAAAGAACAGGTAAAATTAAATAAAATCGTATCGTTGTTGTTGTCGCAGACAATCAAGGGATGTGGGTGACGTAGTATATGATGTTGAATTTGGGATTGATTCTTGTGCTGGACTGGGGTTTTGGCAGGCATTAGTGAAGCACAACAAATGTCGAGGTTAAAGTCACACTCGAAACAGTGGTAGTTACTATGGGTCTGACCACTCCTCCAACAGGCATCGCAGTCGAAGTTCTCAAATTCATTTCGGGGCCTGATGAGGAGGGTGAGAGGGTGTGGGTGAAAGGGATGTAGCATCACTTGTGGGAATTGAGCGCATGATTTGTGCATGTACGCCTTTCTCAAGCAAAATTCATTGCAACACGAATACATTGGTGAAGCGATGTCTTTGTGGCATAACAAGCAGAAGTACCGCCAATCATCGATGATACCTTTCTCCATTCTCAACGGATGTTCATGGATGAAATGTTTAATCTGGTTCTCCATCTCTCTCTCTCTCTGATGAATGCTTTACAGGGAGTTTTCTGGTAGTTGCTGTGGAAGAAACTCAAATTTTTTTTTCCTTTCTTTCTTTTATGTGTCTGGGAAGAGGATTGGGTTAAAATAACGCCGACCACCAATTTCCCTCCCCAACCCCCTTCTTCGTCCAAAGGCAACCTTTCCCAGTCGCCCTCTCTCCCCTCGGAGTGTAGACCATTCAAGTTCGTCGGTGATATAGCTTCGCACGAAGAACGACTTTTGGATTCGAAAAACGAAAGAGCACCGGAGATGATTCTCAGTCCATCGCCATCGCCATTCATCACCTCTCGCCATCGCCGTTACGACCCAGCCATCCAGATCTGGAATGGTGGAGTAACTGAGGGAAAAAAAGAAAACAGAAAATGAATTTATGTTGATGTTGATATATTACAAACGAACAGTTTTTGTAATTTATGTTTATGTATTATATTTTTTTATATTTTCTGTTTCATCTTTTTGTTGTAAAAAATTGTCCAACACAAGACAAGAACATGTCGCTGATGATGAGAAATAGTAAAAAGTCATATTTTTAAACAAAATATTTAAGGTTAAGTTTGACTAATCTAAAAAAGTGTACTTATTTTATCTTTTTATTTTTTTTGAGTCACATCAATTAACATTTTCTTTTTATTTTTTCTACACATAATATAAAAAAAAGTCAAAAAGTATACTTATTTAGTCTTCTCAAACTTGGCCTAAAAACGTGGTCGTCAAAAACGCAACAAAATCTTTTTAAAAAGTGTCAAAAATGCAGTTTTAAAATTACAAATTAGGGATCATAAAAAAATTAAAAAATAAATGTCTTAGGTTGGGTAAGGGTATTTTAGTCATTTTAATTTGATTTGACACTATAAATAAATATTAAACTAAAAAGTAAAAAGTCAGTTTTTTACCAACTTCTCAAATCACTTTCAAAAAAATCAAAAGTCAACTTTTTACCAACTTTCCAAAACAACCCTAAGTTACCAATTTGATGATGAGAATAAAGCTATACCAGTTTGCCCTATTTTGAAAAGATGGTAAAAAGCGATTTTTTGATTTTTAATCAAATTTTTTTACTTTTTTAGACATAATTCAGAAAATTGATAAAAAGTTATTTTTGGCTTTTTTTTATTAATATCTATTTATGATATCAAATTACAATAAAATGACCAAACTATTCCCATTAATTTAAAATATTTACAACTTCACTCATGTAGTACATTTTGACTCATGAAAGGTAGAATTGTAATTTCACCAGTAGTTAAAAACTAATTTTCCAAATGAAAAAAAATAGGGTTAATTACACTAATAGTCCCTATATTTTGAGACTTGTATCACTTTGGTGCCTGATTTTTCAATTGTGACACATTTGATCATGAATTTTGAATCTTGATCCAAATAAGGACAATTGAAAATATCATTAGATTTTTCAAGGGTGAAATTGTCAATTTGATAAAATATAAACTAATTTGACAAAAATAAATGTTAAAAAAATATTTTAAATTTTTTAAAAATTAATTTTATCCACCAATGATAAAATTATATAAAATTAATAAAAATTACATGATTAATTTTTTTAAATTAATTTTACATGATCATCATCCAAACAAATAATAAAAATTAATTTGGTAAAAAAAAATAAATGTCTAAAAGATTTATCAATTTTACATAATTTTATTTTTAGTAGGTAGAAATAATTTTTAAAAATTCAAAAATATTTGTTTGACATTTATTTTTATCAAATTAGTTTATATTTTATCAAATTGACAATTTTATCCTTAAAAATCTAATGATATATTCAATTGTCCTTATTTGAAATAAGATTCAAAATTCAGAGTCAAATATGTCACAATTAAAAAATCAAAAACCAAAATAATATAAGCCCCAAACTATAGAAGCTATTTATATAATTTGTATAAAAAAAAATAAAAAAATCAACTTTAAACTTTTGTTACAAACTAAAAAAAATGACTAAATTTTTTTTTTTTTTTTTTTTGGGTACATCAGAAATAAAAGAAAAACAAAGGAACTACGTCCTAACGACCTCCTGAGAGAGGTGAACAATATCCGCAATAAGCATGTTATGGATTTCCGCTGGAGGATCATTAACAATTAGTAACTCAGCTAGTTGATTTTCTCCTAGTTTTGCCAATGCGTCTGCGCAAATGTTGGCTTCCCTTTTGATATGTTGGATGGTACAGTTACAGTCTCTCATGATAATACACGCATCCTCCACAACGCCCCTAAAGGGACATCGCTCTCTCAACTCTTCACTTAACAGTTGCACCACTTGCTCCGCATCCGTTTCAATGACCACTTGATTCATACCACGTTGGAGAATGATTGTGAGTCCTTTGTAGACAGCCCAAAGCTCCGCTTCAAGGCTGGTGCATATCTCTAGTTTCCTATAGTAGCCACTAATCCATGAACCTGTCTCATCCCGAAAAAGTCCTCCAAAACCTCCACCTCCTCCATTTCGGCGAGTGCTACCATCCGTGTTTAGTTTAATTGTTCCTGCACTTGGACAAGACCAAACAGTTAGACTTTTATATTTTAGCGGTGTTGTAATATCTAAACTGAATGCTTGAAAAATTTCCTTAGCATAGCAAAATATATTTTCCACACTTTGATGCAGATTAGTGTGTTTATTTTCAAAAACCATTTTGTTCCTATTCTTCCAAATAGTCCACAAGGTAACAAGAAACATGTGAGGGGATTTGTTCCTCCCTTTTACATTCCGAATGATCCATCCGGGCCACGACAAATTAAGCATGTTGAAGTACCATTCCGAACTGAATATTTGACTCCAAACTTGCAAAGCGTTGGGACAAAACCGAAATAAATGATCAATGTCCTCCAAGTTTTCACAACAAGGGCATTTCGGGTCATTAGTAAGGCCCCTCAATTGTCTCGTATGATTTGTGAGAAGTTTCTCATGGAGAATAACCCACACAAAGCTCTTAAGCTTCTGAGGGACCATAAGCTTCCATATCCACCCCCAATCTCTCTCTTGACTATGGTGATAAACTATTATTTCATAGGCACTTGCTATAGAGAAATCTCCATCAGGGGCTTTAACCCATCTAGGATTATCCTCTACATCCTTATTACGAGGGGGTTGAATTTTCAGAATTTCCACAACCACATGCCTTGGCATAAGGTTATTTATATGCATCAAGTCCCAATCTCCATTACCATCAAGAAGCTAATCCACAGTGGTATTCCCAGGATTTGGAAGTAGATAAGTAGGAGTGTTCAAATCCTGTTCAAGGACTCCTTCCTCACACCACCAATCTTTCCAAATTCTAACTTTGGACCCTCTTCCAAGGTTCCATCTCACCCCTTTAACAAGAAGCTCTCTTGAGTTAAGGATGCCTTTCCAAACATAAGAAATATTTTTGCCTTTTTTCTTGTGCAAGAAAGGTTGCTGCCCGAGATATTTAGTTTTAAGCACATCCACCAATAAGCACTTTTCCTCCTTAAGCACTTTCCAACCCAGCTTGGACAAAAGAGCTAGGTTCTGATCTCTCGCCCTTTGAAGCCCAAGACCCCCATCTTTTTTCATCCTACAAACTAGGTCCCAGTTTACAAGATCAACTTTCTTTTTCTCTAGGGTGTCTCCCCAAAGAAAATTCCGATTTATTTTGTCAATTTCATCACAAACTTTCCGAGGAATCTCCATAGTTTGCATGGAATATACTGGAATAGCACTGGTCACAGATTGGATTAAGGTGGCCCTCCCTGCCAATGACAGAAGGCCAGATTTCCACCCCGCTAACTTGGTCTTGAGTTTTTCCAAAATATAGTTAAAATTATCTTTACTCACACTAGTGTGGAGAAGAGGGATCCCAAGGTATCTCCCTAAGTTTTGGGTTAGGGGAATACCACACATGTTACTCAGACTTCTAACTCTTCTCCTTTCAATGTTATGAGAAACAAACATATGAGATTTATTTAAGTTAATCTTTAAACCAGATATTGCACTGAACTTATCCAAAATTTTCAAAATGGTAGAACAATTTTTATCATTGGCTTTAGCAAACAAAATCAAATCATCCGCAAAAAATAAATAAGATAAGTTAGGACCATTCTTAGACAAGGATAGGCTACTCCACTCTTTCTCATGCACCTTTTGATTAATCATACCTGAGAGCCTCTCCATGAAAAGCACAAAAAGGTAGGGGGATAAAGGGTCCCCTTGTCTTAAACCCTTGGCAGGGTGGAACTCATCAAGAGGTTCACCATTCCATAAAATAGCAGTATTCACACTAGTAACGCAACTCATGATCAAATCCACCATCTTCTTCTCAAAATGGAATTCTATTAAAGTTTGTTTAAGAAAATTCTAGGAAATGTTATAGGTCCCAGTTTACAAGATGAACTTTCTTTTTCTCTAGGGTGTCTCCCTAAAGAAAATTCCGATTTATTTTGTCAATTTCATCACAAACTTTCCGAGGAATCTCCATAGTTTGCATGGAATATGCTGGAATAGCACTAGTCACAGATTGGATTAAGGTGGCCCTCCCTGCCAAGGACAGAAGGCCAGATTTCCACCCCGCTAACTTGGTCTTGAGTTTTTCCAGAATATAGTTAAAATTATCTTTACTCACTCTAGTATGGAGAAGAGGGATCCCAAGGTATCTCCCTAAGTTTTCGGTTAGGGGGATACCACACATGTTACTCAGACTTCTAGCTCTTCTCCTTTCAATGTTAGGAGAAACAAACATATGAGATTTATTTAAGTTAATCTTTAAACCAGATATTGCACTAAACTCATCCAAAATTTTCAAAATGGTAGAACAATTTTTATCATTGGCTTTAGCAAACAAAATCAAATCATCCGCAAAAAATAAATAAGATAAGTTAGGACCATTCTTAGACAAGGACAGGCCACTCCACTCTTTCTCATGCACCTTTTGATTAATCATACCTGAGAGCCTCTCCATGAAAAGCACAAAAAGGTAGGGGGATAAAGGGTCCCCTTGTCTTAAACCCTTGGCAGGGTGGAACTCATCAAGAGGTTCACCATTCCATAAAATAGCAGTATTCACACTAGTAACGCAACTCATGATCAAATCCACCATCTTCTTCTCAAAATGGAATTCTATTAAAGTTTGTTTAAGAAAATTCTAGGAAATGTTATCATAAGCCTTTTCAAGATCAACTTTGAAAATCATGTAACCCACCTTCCCTTTTTTCTTCCTTACAGTGTGAAGAGCTTCCTGAGTAATGATGATGTTATCATGGGTGGATCTACTCGGGATGAAACTACTTTGATTCGGGCTGATGATAGTCTCAAGGAGAGGCCTGATGCGGTTGGCAAGGATTTTGGAAATAATTTTATAGCTAACATTGCACAAGCTGATTGGCCGAAACTGTTTCACAGTCTCAGGATGATTAGCTTTAGGAATGAGAGCTATAAAAGTTCTACTAATCTCTGGGGGGATGGACCAAGAAGAAAAACAATTTTGAATAAAGTCTATCACACTCTTGCCCACAATATCCCAAAAAGTGTGATAGAAAATGGCTTGGTACCCATCGGGACCCAGGGCTTTAAAAGCTTTTATGCTTTTAACTGCCCTCCAAATCTCAACATCAGAAACAAACCTACTCATCTCAATTTGATCATCAGAACTTAAATGATTAGTCAAATTATTCCAATGGTCCAGGCAGATAGTGTGACTATAACTAAAGAGCTTGTGGAAATGAGCAGACACAAGGTTTTTTAAATCATCAGGATCATCCACCCAAATACCCTCATCATTTCTCAAAACTAAAATTTTTGTCTTCCTCCTCTTCATAATGGTGGACAAATGGAAAAACTTTGTATTATGCTCACCCTGAGTTATCCAATTAATGCGAGATTTTTGAAACCACAACAACTCCTCCTGATACAGGACTTTATTAAACTCCTCAATGAGCTCAATTTCCAATTTATGAAGATTATGATAATAATGATTGGCTTGAGAAATTTGGATTCCATTAATTCTACCTAGCAGCCATCGTTTTCGTCTAAAAATATTACCAAAAACATTTTTGTTCCAAACCGTGGCTGCAATTGACATGCGATCCAAATTTCTCAACAAATTCGGCTGGTGATGAATAGGCCAATTATTTTCAACCAGCATGCGGAATCCCTCATGGGTGATCCAAGCCGCTTGGAATTTAAACGAAATATGTTGAGGGTTAGAAAGTCACGTACCTTGAGTGTGCACTATAAGAGGAGATTGATCCGAATATGTGTGAGGCAAATTTCGAACATACCCCTCCGGAAATATAGTTCTCCACTCAGTGTTGCAGAGGGCCCTATCCAATCTCACCATAGTATTAGCCCACCATTTCCTGTTGTTGGTCCAGGTAAGCCTCGGACCCACACAACCAAGGTCCATAAGTTGACAATTGTTTACTCTATCATTGAATTTCTGGCTCCTTCTTAGGCTTTGGTTTGAGTTCTGGCTTTGATTCACAGAGTAGCTCATTTTCTCTGTTAAACTTGAATAATCATTAAAATCCCCTGCCACCATCCATGGTTCATGCATGTTCTGCGCCATTGATTCCAAATCCGACCAGAGTTCATCTCTCAACCTAGGATTTGGACTTGCATAAATGGCAGAAAGGACCCAATCCGGGTAGTCTTGACGAGCAATAGTAGCAGTAATCATCTGAGAACCAGCTTCATTTACCCGAACATTAATTTGATTAGGATTCCATAGTAACCAAATGCCACCACTTCTACCCGTGGGATCAACATGAGAGGATGCCGTATAGCCCAAATTATTGAAGAACATACCCATTTTATGTAAATCCACATTGGTCTCCAAGAGGATAAGCATATCGGGTTTATGCATTTGGACCAACTCACGTAGATTCCGCCGGAATCGGTCATTACCAGCACCCCTACAATTCCATATCAGCAACTCCATGGACAACAGTGGAAGAGTGGGCCAGTTCGCTACCTCAGGTAGACCCAGAATGTTTCTCGCATTTGTCTGATCTTCCTCCAATGTTTTCGCTGGTTTCACAAGCACCATATGTCTCACATTGTGCGCGTCGATCTCCCACCACGGTTGGATCATCAGTTTCACTTCTTCGAGCCACCAATCTATTCCGATGTGGTGATATGCTTCTTTCCCGAGCTCTAAAAACAACAGCGTCCTGAACTGGTCCACACGGTGCTCTATCAACCGAATGGTCTCGGTAGCTTCTTCCATCAGGCCTATTTTCCAGAGACGTGCTTGAATCCAGTGATTTCCCTCCTCTTGCTCTCGATCTATTTGCTGAAGGTTTCTCAACTGGCAGCCTTGGAGAGGTGTGGGGGCTAGTTTGTGGCTTGGAACCCGAGATAGACTTAGGGCTTCCTTGGTTATTGTTTACACCCATTCTAGCTTGTGGGCCTAATTTGGGAGTACTGGACTAGACATTCTGTTGGAGCTCTTCTCTTCCACGTGGCCCAGATGCCATACCCATCTCTATATCTTGCCTCATGTTCTCCCGGGTCTATGTGAGCTCCACGTCCATTACTGGTGAAGTCTGCACTAATGTGTCCAGTGGGCTCCTATTTTGGGCTCCATCTGCATCACCATTAGCCAAGTTAGTGCCCATGTCTAGATCCACGTGACTTCCCTGGGCTTTACTATTCTTTAGGCCTTTACTTTTTCCCCTTGCTCTTTGTCCAGTTGTAATATATCAAATCTGTTACTCTTTTGGAAGTGGGCCTTATGCTTCTGCTTCCCCTGATAGAATTTCCTTCTGCTCGGTGCTATAGTCCACGGCCCATAACCCAATTTATCATCCAAATTAAAACCTTCCTCATTCCCTTGCCTAGTGGGCTTTGATGTTCCTGGTCCTTTACCAACATCAAGTTGCGTAACGGTCACATTCTGCATCGTCTTCTCCGACTGTATTACCGGATATTCAGTACACTTTTCTTTCTGATGGCCAACTCGACCACAAGAGAAACACAATGTATGCAAATGTTCATATTCCACCACATAGTGATAACGTCCAATAGTGATATGCGAGATAAGTGGCTTGCGCAAGTCTAACTCGACACAAACCCTTGCATACTTTCCTCTTGTTGCCATGGCAGTGTTAATATCAACCTTCAAGGGAGTACCGAGCACCTTCAAGATATGGTAGAGAACCTTATCATCATAATACTCAATGAGGAGATTAGGGAAACGAACCCAAATTGCCATTGTGTCCTCCTCTGCCTCATCAGATTTAAAATCAGGCTGCCATTTTTGCACAGTCACGTATCGATCCATCACTACCCACGGTCTCCAGTGAAAACCTTCGTGTAATCCTCCACCATTTCAAATTTCACTATAAAGAAACCATTTCCAATATCCAACGTTTCAAAATCAGCTTGGAGATTCCACACCTTCCTCATTCTATTTACAAACAGGTTATAGCCAATATTCCTTCCCAAAAGTCGTACTATGAGACATTTCTTCCATGGTTCTCTCACTTTTTTAAGAAGCCCCGCCGGTAGGTTAACCACCGGGTGCGATGATGTCCCTTTCTCTTCTGAAGCATGGTTCTCTCACTTTTTAAGGAGGCTAGCAGGTAGTTTAGCCATCGGGTTCGATGATGTCCCTTTCTCCTCCAAATTAGCCTTTGTTTCCTTCTTATTTTTCATTTCTTCATCGAAAGAGGGATAGGCCGCTTCACAATCAAAACTGCGTTCTCTCTCAGTTTCATTGAATCTGGATCGCATCAGTACTTGTTTGAAAGATTTTCGGGTGCCCATGGCCGTTTCTGGTTCCCTGTTCTGGGTACAACCTTCCTCCACCATATGATCATCATTCTTTTCCAGGAGTTCCTCCTTAGATGAATCAGTAGCTTTCAATTTTTTCTTACTCCGATCAAGATGGTCTTGCCCCTCTGATGATGTTTCATGAATGCCAATTTCGCTTCCAACGGTCATCTTCTCTCTTCTTTTTGAATTTGAAGATCCAATCGACGGCGAGTGTTTGGTTCTAAAAAAAAAAAAAACAGACTAAAATTTTTCAAAATAACTTTGAGAGGAAGAGAGAGAAAAAGAGGAAAGGAAGAGGTCTTTGTTTGAGAGAGAAAAAAGATACCAGTTTGAAGAGAGATTAGACCGTTTCAGAGAAAGAGAGAGTCGCGTGTGTTTTCTGGCGGTGCTTCTCCGTGAGTTTTTGCATGCTCCAGGGAATTCGCACGCGCTTCATGTGCGTTCGGGTGTCTTCTTTTGCAGTATTTGGGGAAGACAAAAAACTGGGCACATGTACGGGGGATACATTGATAGTTGGTTCAGCACATGGGTAAAATATTTGAGGGAAACTCGAATTATTTTTGGGGTGAAGTGAACCGAAAGCTAGCGGTGTTGGTGGGCCATTTCATGTGAAATCATTTGTTTATGCATTTTGATATAGGTATTATGAAGCAAAATTGGGTATGACACATTATTTAAAATACATAAAATATATGTGGGGTGCTTTTAGATTGAATTATTACCGTTAGGTGTTGTTTGGTTTGATATTTGAAATGGTGGTCTGGGTCTCACTGTAATAATTGTGGGGCTGCTTGGCAAGGTTCTGCATTGATCATATATAAAGTGGTGTTTTGAGAATTTGATAAAAAATTATTTTTTCGGCTTTTTAATTTGTTAAGTGATTTTTTTGACAAAAAATTGGATTTTTTTAATAAAAAAACTAATTTTTTTAACTAAATATATTAAAAAATTAATTTTTTATCAATCTTTCCAAAGTGTCCCAAAATATATATAACGCGTTTCTGGAGAAAACACATTATGCAATGTGGCTGTCACTGTGACAGTGGTAGGCTGTCACAGTGACAGGTGGTAGAATTACACTTTTGTCTCTATTGGTTTATTTTGAAAAATGTGAGAATAGGGATAAAATTATCATTTTAATTACAAACATCATTTCAACACATTTTTTAATACACCAACTCAAATAAAAATCTATCTCATCTTCCCAAACATAAAAACTAAAATAGCCTACTAAAATAGTTAAAAAGTCAAAAAGCTTCTAAAATAGCCACTTTCCAAACGAGGCCATAAAGTGGTGTTTTGAGAATTTGATAAAAAATTATTTTTTCGGCTTTTTAATTTGTTAAGTGATTTTTTTGACAAAAAACTGGATTTTTTTGAATAAAAAAAACTAATTTTTTTGACTAAATATATTAAAAAATTAAAAAATTACTTTTTTATCAACCTTTCCAAAGTGTCCCAAAATATAGGGCTGAGCAAGGAATCCGTGAAATCCGTAATCCGATCCAGTCCAGTCCAATCCGATAGGTTTGGATTGGTTTTTTGAATCCGTGGTTCGGTTCCGGATTGAATAATTAAAAATCCGTAGTTCACGGATTGGTTCCGGATTGAATCCCACGGTTCCGGATTGGAACCGATCCGGACCGTATACAAATAGTTTATATTTTTATTATACATCCTCCCCCATAGTATCTTTTCTTATTCTATGTAAAATCTAAACTCAAACCTAAAATCGTATAATATCTTCTTTTATTACTTTTGTTTGTTAGTTTTAAGTTTTAATTTGCAATGGTCTAAATACTTATGGTGAAACCAGTTTTCTTATGGTTGTTTAAATTCTAGAACAGTATGTCGTTATTATAGAAAAACATGTTGCTATTATGGAACTAATATAGCGCTATGTTTATATTTTTATGAAATTCAAGTGTTATATATATATTTTTGTTATTTAATTATGTGAATCCGTGGTCCTAAACCGATCCAATCCGTATTTAAATGGATTGGTTCGGATTGGTTTCATGATTTAAACGGATTGGATTGGTTCCAATTTTTTAAGAACCGTAAATAACAGATTGGTCCTGGTTTTATCCCAATCCGGTCCAATCCGGACCATGCTCACCCCTACCAAAATATATATAACGCGTTTCTGGAGAAAACACATTATGCAACGATACTGGTTTGTGCATCGTTGGTGGTGCTTTGGGCCCACGGATTGTTTAGTGTGTATAAAATGAATTTGTAAAGCATATATATATAGTTTTTTTTGTTATTTTAGTTTTTTTTGGTTATTTTAGATTCATTTAAAAAGTTTGTTTGAGTTGACTTTTTTATTTATTTTATTTTATTTTTTTATTTCTTTAAAAAAAAATAAAATGATTATAATTTAGATGTGATATTATCTTTTTATAACTAATTTAACCCAAAAATCTAATGTCAATCAAAGCTTTAGGTGTATAGGGACATTTGGGAAGAGTTTTTTTTAGTTTTTTTTTTTTAAATAGCACTAAAAGACAAAATAAATTAAAATAACCAAGAAAAAATATCACATCAAATCTATAATCATTTCACTTTTTCTCTCACAAACATCACATCCAATTACAAAAAAATCAAATTATTTTCCCAAATACAAAAATTTTAACCTCTTAAAATAACCTCCTAAAATAGCAACTTCTCAAAAACCCACATAATGTTTGTTTTTGTGATTATAATTTGAATGGCAATAGTATTACTAACTGGTGTGCATTTTAATTTTAATTTTTTTTAGATTACAGAACACTAACTGGTGTACATTATTTGATATTTATTTTTTTTATTTTATATTTGATTTGTTTGGAATTGTAGAGTACATGATGATAAGCATTTTTCAATTTAATTTGTTGAGATTGCAAAGCACTTGCTGGGGTGTTTTATTTAGTGTTTAGAAATTTTTTAACTTTTTAAAATTATAAAATGTTAACAAATGTACAATAGCTTTGATTTATGTATTTTGTATAGTGTTTGATTTGCAATATTGGTGAACATTATTCTTATATGTTTGTTTCTTAATTTGCATTAAGGCTAGGAGAATTGTTATTTTATTTGAGTTCTATATACCGTGTGGTACAAATAAAATTGTTACAAGTTCTTTAAGAAGAATACTATTTTTTATATATATATTTTTCAATATCTTCATCAAAAAATACTACAGAATTCATAAATTTTAACATAATATGTGTAAATTACAACTGTGTTTTGATCACAATATTATTTACACCGTACTTTTAAGCATGGGCATACACTAGCACATAATATAATACAAAATGTATAATTTCATTTCTAAATCACAAATTTTCGTAACTCTATAAAAAAAATTACGTAACATTTATCAAAAAATACGTAACATATACCATACAAATACACAACATGATGCATATGGGATGTGTAACATAGAATTTCCCATTTATTTAACTTTTCATTATTATTCTAATCATATATAATTATAAGGGGTGCTTCATAACCTAATTAAGTACTTAAAATTGAAGTATTAAGTGGCTATCAATAATCAATAAGCTCATTTGATAATCACACTTGATATCACTTAAAATTTAAGCCCCTCTTACAATGTAAACTAAAATTTAATTTTTTTAAAAAAAATCATATGAACTTACTTGTAATTAAATTTATAAATACTAAATACTAAATATTGATATATATTATTAAACTCATTACTACCACTATTACTATCATGCCACCGCCACCACTAACACCACCACCACTACTACTACCACCACCATCGCTATCGCTACCGCTTTTATCACCACCCCCATTACCATAATGCTGCCACCGCCGCTGCTGTCGCCGCCACCACTACTACTACCACCACCTTTATCACCATTATTATTGTTGCCATATGCACTATCATCATTGTACTACCACTACCATCTCTATCGCTATCACTATCACCACCATCATAATATAAAAATTGAAATATACAATTTGAAAATAATAAATTTCAAATTTGATCTTATACATATCAAACAACTTGTTTTTAGTTCAACATTTAAATTTTTATCAAACAATTTTTCAATTTAAAAAATTCAACATTTACCTTTTAATATTTAATTTTCAATTTTTAACTTTATTAAATATCACCTAAGTAAAATAATGCATTTTTATTGACATACTTTATAATGGTGCCATGTAGCATACTTAAAAAAATGCCACGTGTCATTTATTTATTTATGTTCTGCATCTTTCATGTCCTTCTATTTTCTCTTGTCTTTATGTTAAAGGATCTTATTTATCTTTTAAAATAATGTTAAATAACTTTCTGATAATGTTAAAGTGTCTTATCTTATTTTTTTTAAATAATCTTAAAGTCGCTTTTGGATGATGTTGAAGTATCTTATTTTATCTTATCTTTTTAAAATAATGTTAAAGTAGCTTTCTGATGATGTTAAAATATCTTATCTGTTCTTTTTAAAATGCATTGTGGTCTTTGTATCGTTAAAATTGTTACAAACATACTTATTTTAAAAAATCCAAGTTATAATTGTCCCATGACTACGTGTACAAAGTTTAAAAAAAAATACATTACAAATTCTCAAAAAAAATATTAAATATTGATAAATATTTTTTTCATCTACCTCACATTCATCTCTATCAAAAGAGAAAATAAATACAAATACAATGATCATGAAATATTCTCAACCATTACTGTACAGGGAAGAGATATTCGTCGCTGTCCGTACTCCTTTCGTCTAAGCTTCGTGGCTATCCGATCAACCTG